ACATCCCTACAACAGGCCTCAGCTGTCATGTCCTCCATTCTTCCAGTCACAGATGGCTCCTCCCAATGGCCTGCAGCTTCCTGCTTCAGAAGAGGCTGCATTTTGTCTGGGGTCTTAATCAGAAACACTGCCGATGCAATTCTTGGCTCTGACCACATGCTTGATTGCTCTCGAGCACAGCATTTGATGTGCAAGGGAGGAAGAAAGAATCCCTCGCACCCACAGCTAAAAATAATTTCAGAGGGCTGGAGGCAACTCAGAGGTGATGGCAGCTATCTCTGGAACAGTTGATAACCCGGCACTCAATTTCATGCATTTTCTTTCTATCATTTCCCCCCTGAACATTTCCTTCCCTGCATGCTGAGGAATGCTTTACAAATTAAACCAGGAAGACTCTAGGTGTCCTGTCATCTAATCTCTAGCCCAGGGTCATAACTGCCCTTTGCAAAGTCTCTGCTATGAGTCACCACAGATGGTTCAGAGATCTGTTCCCTTGTGCACAGCCTTCAGGTGACCAGCTCTGGAACTCAGCAGCTCCACATGAAATATGTCAGAATGGTCAATAAGCAGAATGGCTCGTGGACACCTGGAAGAGTAAAGCAGGATGGTTAGGGCATGTGGTACAGGACAGGTACAAGTAATACCAACAGGCCGCTGAACAAACAAATGATTTCAGCCATGTGGCCCTTGACTCTAAAGGGCAGTGGTTTCAACCTCCAACGGCTGTGCTTCAAGCCAGTCATCAGGTGGAGGTCATTACTGACAGCGGCATGAACCTTCTTTATGAAGTCACAGGGAATTGTCCCCATCTGCTATTTGGACTGCTGTCATTTTTACTAAGTGCATATGCACAGATCGAGCTGGATTCTAAAAAGGCAACATGTTCAAATTCTCTAATAAGAAATTATTTCCACTGAATATTTATTAATTGCCAGGCATCCACTTTTTAAAATTTCATGCAATCATAGCAACCAGATATTAGAATACTATCTTTTTACAGATGGAAATATCAGTGAATGGGGGGGGGAGGTCTTTGTAAACACCTGTTCGAGTTAATAAAGCCACTTAGTGCATGATAGTGGGAAGCTGATTCATTAAACCTTCTGTGAGAAGATAATGAACTGCTACTTAAAGGTCCCAGATAGAACCACACAGAGTGTGAGCGTTCTCAAGGACCTGCTTGCTGGTCTTTTATCCCCAAATATGAACATCCACTGGGTGATTCTCAACAGAGTGAAGGAAGCCAAACTTAGGACATGTCTACAGAGCTCTCTTCCTACCGATGCTATATCCTCTACCCCTGAAACAGGAACAGACTATCTCACAAACTTGTGGAGAAGAAGCTGTCTATCTGTCCTGTCTGTGTGTCTCTGTCAATGTTTCTCCTTCACTGACAAGGCTAGGCAGTGGCCACTGCAGGCACACAGCTCAGAGTCTCAGGCAATACAGTACAGTGGTACAAAGCCAGGCTGAGGCCTAAGTGCACATGTGTAAAAAGTTTTTAGCCAATCTGTACTCAATCTCATTATGAAGCTCTCTCAGACTAGAGGTTGCCGGTGTAGGAGCACCTGACAGAAAGTAAGTGTTTGTTGTGTGCCAGCTGTTTGCTATTCAGATGTTGGCTCCTTCCCTGCTCTCTTGCCTCAAGCCTAAAAAGTCAGGCTGTGCCCTCTGGAGGAGGACCTGAGATAGTCCTGCTCCTCCACTGTGCCTAGGTTGATTAAAAAAAAAAA